ACTGCAGCCTTGTTGGGGGCAGGGGAGTGAATGTGCCTCACTGCCTCACGCCATACACAAAATTCAATACCAAATAGATTATGAACTTAAATCTGAAAAGCACTTTAAAACTTAAAAAAACAAAAACAAAAACAATATAATCCGGGGGCTAGAGGAAATTTCCAATTAGATTACATTAAAAATAAGAATTTCTGTTCACCAGAACACACCATAAAGAGTGAAAGACAGGCCACGAACTAGAAGAAGATATTTACAGTGCATATAATAAAGAGTCAGTGTTACCAGTTTATTAGTTTTAAAAGATAATCCAATAGAAAAATGGGTGTAAGATATGACCAGGTATTTCAGAAAAGAAAAGCAGACGCTTCATAAATATATGAAAGATGCTCAAACTGTTTAACAATCAAAGAAATGAAAATTAAAACCACAATGAGGCATCATTTCTAACCCATTTGGCAAATATTAAGAAGTCTGTAGATAACGAGAGTTGGTGAGGATATAGGTCAATTGTAACTTTTATACACTGCTCATCAAAGCATATAAATTGACAAAACTACTGACCTAAATACAAGCTGATACGACCACTTCAGAAAACAATTTGGTATCATTTTATAAAGTTGAACATTTATACTTCATACTCCAGCAATTCTACTTCTAGCAAATAGCTTACCACAGTGGTATTTCAAAGCTTTTTTTTTTTACTGCAAATCACCAAAATGCTTTTAAAAATTACATATTCTTTACACTTTAATATGACACCTAAAAATTTCAGCCTAAGTTTAAATAATTGCAAAAGATGAATTTCTAGAGTATCACAGTGACATTTTAAAATAAAACTGACATATCATTGGTTTAAATTGTTATAATTATTATAGCATCGAGCTAATAAAAAAATAACTATACATGCTGATAATTAAACATAAGTAAAAATTTTTGGAAAAGTGGCTCTTAAGATGGAAAGTGCTTAGATTAAAAGAGGCTTTCTATAACACTATATGCTGTATTTTAAATTATCCCTTTGTTTTCTGTGGAGTATTTCTACCTGGGGCAATGCCCTAGTAAGATTCCATGTGGGTGAGAGGTATGCCTTCCTTATATAACATAGAAGTGCCACTGTGAAAGAGAAGGTGGGAAAGTAGAAGCAGAAGGACTCAGGCATTACCAATTTTAGAAGTACACTCAGAATTTAAGGATCTATAAATTGATTTACTAGTATCCCTTGTGCTCAAGTACTCCCTAAAAAATTCATTGTTCTTCTGGAGATCATATATCCGGTGTTAAAATTAGAGAAATTCTCGCAACTGTGTACCAAGGATATGTACAAGAATCTTAATAGCAAAACATAGAAAGAACCAAAATGTCCGTCAACAAAAGAATGCATACACTGTGTTATATTCGCCTGTGGAATATTACACAGCAGAGAAAACTAATGACACATCTATACTCAATTATCAGTGACTCTTAGAAACATAACATTGAATGAAATAAGTAAGTCTCAGAAAACTGTATCCAGTACTTCCTTTTTAACTCAAAAACAAGAGAAATCATATAATACATTGTTGAGGGATGTAAACATATCTGATAAAATTATTTTTAAAAAGCAAGGAATGACACAAGTCAGGACAGTAGTAACTCTGGAAGTGAGCACATTCAATATGGGTCATTTTTATTCTTAGATTGAGTGGTGAATTGACAGGTGTTTGTTTAATTGCTTTGTTTCACAACTTGCATATAGATTACATATACATTGACTGTATTAAATATTACATTAAAGAGAAAAAAGATTTCAAAAAACCATTTATATGAAAAACGTATTTAATTAAAATCACCTCACCTGCCACTAGAGGCATATGTACTGTGAAAATTACCATCTTTACATCAACCATAGGAACTGACATACATTAAGTACAAAATAAATGGAATTAATCTTATGAGGACCGAATGAGATAGACTGAGCCAATTAGCTGTGACAGATGAACCCATAGGCTGACACACCGGCTAGAGCAAAAGCCAAATTAAGCGGCAAGCTAAAGTTATAAGGAAGCTGGTCAGTAAAGAGAAGGCAAAAATGTAAAAGTCTGATAACATAAACTGTTAGCAAGGATGTGAGGAAATGGGCATCCTCAATACCAGTGGGAGTGAAAATTAGTACAACCACTTTGAGAGCTTCTGTGATATTTGGTTAAGTTGAACATGCACATATCCTACTACCAATCCATTCTACTACTGGGTGTATTTCCTAGACAAAATTCCAAATGTGTGTACAAGCAGACAAGTACAAAGATGTTTATTGCAGGATCGTTTTTAGAGTCAAAAACCAGAAACGACTTCAAAGTTCATCAATAGGGAAATGGATAAATTATGGTATATTCATACAATGGAATTCTATACCAGCAATTAAAATGAATGAACCAAAGATAACACAATTATCCAATTTATTTGTATATAAATCTCAAAATGTAATGCTGATCGAAAAAAGCAAGTTGCAAAAAGGACACATCGTTTCATACCATTAAAGTTTAAGAAACAACACTATATTATTGTTTATGGATTCACCATGATCCAAGTATAAAATATGCACAAACCTGAACACGGTGGCTCTCCAGGAAAGGAGAGAGAGGAACGGAAAACACCACCCATTAACTGCAATTTTTATTTTATTTTTTAAAGGATCTGAAGTAAATTTGGCAAAATATTTACATCTGTAAACCTGAGTCATGGATTAGACGCCCCCCTCTTTACTGTATATATGAAGCATTCCAGAAATTTAAAAATAAAGTAAAATTAAGCAAGAGTAAGAAAATTGAGCAAATGAACAGAGAAACAGGCACCAAATCGCAGCTTGCGCGCAAAGCACGGACCTTTGAGCAAGAAGAGCAGCAGCTGAGTCCCTAATGGGTTAGCAGTT